CGTATTTGGTGGCCGTGAGCTCGATATTGTTCAACATTCAAAGGAAAAATTCTTGGGCAAAGAAAATGAAGATAAAATACGTGAATTTGTCCGCTCACTACTTGATATCCCCGCTAAGGTTTGTCATTGAGAAATGCTCGATGTATAATATTCTTTCTAGTGTTACTGTAGTTCTTCAGTTCGTCACGGAATTAGCGATCCAGCTATCCTCTGACAGTGATCCTCTGACAAAGTTACCGATGGCTTCGTCTTTTGAGAGTTGCTTAGAAGCAAGCTAACTGCAGATTTGATTCCGCTGTATTCATTAGTTCATAGACAGATCCAGGACGGACTCCTGAAGGGGAGGGCAACGAGCAAGGAGAGGGGGTTAACGAGGGGAGGGGGGAGGAAAGGGGGAGGGGTCAACGAGCGGGAAGAGGACTCCTTGCGCAGCGACGAGCGGAAAGGAGAAGTGGGGGACCTGCTGGGAGGCAACAGGGTGAGGGAGACAGTCTACTTTAGTTTTAGCTTCAGACCGGAACTTTTGCACCACTGGTGCTTGTGCCGCTGGGAGTGGGGGGAGGGGGTGGAGAGTCGAAAGACCCGTCTCCTGTCCCTCTTCTCTCCTGGATCCACCTATGTGTCAGTTACCAATTTACCGACTAAAATAACTGAACTAATCATGATGGAATTGATTATTTCATTGATAGAATCGAACTCTTGATGTTCTGCACCGCGATAATAATACTTCTGATTGCGTCAATCTCGCGGACAATCTTTTTTGCGTTAAAAAAAGCTGAAAAATAAAAAAAGAGCAAAATTTTGTGAAAAAAATTATAAAATTGCAGACCGATCCTACAGATAAGAATGCATGGCAGTTAAACCTCTACCGCAAAATCGGTAAATCACAAATGCGTGGCAAGGATGTGATGACACAGGATGCTGTTGTGGAGAAAATAACAAATATGGGCCAGGTGGTGGCTATTCTGCATGTCGTAAGTTCTGCTTCATTTTTGGTGGATTTACTTAAAAAAAGTGGTGTATTGTGTTTAACAGATTGTTATTATAAGTTGTTATTATTAATTATAACGTAACATGTCATATTTGTGCTAAAATTTGGATTTCAGTTAATTTGTGGAATTGCTGTTTATTTGGAGAAACAGAAGAGTGCCTTGAATACTATTACTGAATCTGGCAAAATTTTTTGTATTCGTCTTTATTCCATTCCTCCCGTTATATTTTTTGCTTAGCAGAGGTCTAATTTTTGTGGAGAAATAGTATTAGTTTTAATTAAACCCGTGGTACACCTCTGTTTGGTACTACATTACTCTCGCAGTTTTGACCGGTGTGAGAAATTGAGTGTGTATACTTTTTTTAAAACCGGCTATGCCTCGATTTTCCGTGATTTTGGACGTACTGTATATGTTTAACCTAAAACTATGGACAAAAAGTATAAGAATTCGCAGGCTCTTTATCATATAGTTATTTGAAGTTTTTAACTCTTTCATCTGCTACTTAGTGAGTTACTTAGTGAGTTATAATGAGTTGTTTTAAGCGTTTTTATGAGAAACTTCGGGTGTGAATATTTGAAAAAGAACTTACGTCATTCTAAATTTATTCATTTTAATTAGTATATTCATATGCTGTTGTCGGCTCGGGAGAAATTAACAGTTACGTCTTTCTTGGACAAGGGACAAATTTTCGCCAAAATCTCTAGGCGAAGATGAATTACCCACACTGCTAGCTCTGGTGGTTTGAATAGATTCACACTGCTTAGAGCTGAAAGATTCAATATAATTGAGTCCCAGAAACATCGGAACCTCACATCCATTGTCCGAACAGTCTTGTTGGTCACTAAATTCACTTTCACTGCCACTGTTCCTTATGGTGAACTTAACAGCCGGACGTTTGTTTATGCTGGTTTTTGTGGCCATGAATATTTTAGGTAACACATGTAAAACAAAAAAGAATACGCCATCAACGACTGAAGCGAGTGAGTTCACTGGAAAAGTAACTCAGCCTTCATTTCTGTCTTGTCGCTTTCCTCTCTAGGGCAGTGTTCCTTATTCTGCCTATCTAGAATGCTCTAAAGTGCACTAGCACCATTTCCGTATCCTCACATCTGCTCTGCTCTGTAAAAAGGCTGCCGTAGTATTAGGGGCCTCACCTTAACATATCACATTTATGAAAGATAAATGTGACAAGTTATTTAGCGAAGCAAATTTTTTTACTTGGAAATTTCTAGATAGTCCTCTTTTGCCTTAGGGTATCCACAGTTAACCGTAGGTTTTTGTGCAAATCTGTTGTACTGTGCTTGAATTTCAGGGCAATTAAAATTCTGAATTACAACCACTTAATTCTCACTGCTTTCTTCTGTAAGCAAAATTTGTTGTCAAAATAATTAAAAGCATCGTTAATTAATGCTAAAAAAAGTGTGCTGGTTTGGTTTTCGGAGGCGACTGTTAACTTAGACAGCTCAAAATTTTTATATTTGTCCAAAAACTTTAATTTTTTACTTTTTGAAAAACTGAAATTGAAAAATATGAGGCAAGCTCCAGAATGTCAAGTTCGAAGTTGCTCAAGATGGTTTCTATGGCAAACAGACTTGTCTAGCATCTTTTTTATTATTACTGTTTTACTTTGGTTTATTTCGCTAAAAACTCAGTTCCCATATTTACCAGAATGTTTTGGACAATCGGTTTGGCTACCCAATGTTAGTAGTGTTACTGGGGTTCTTTCACGCATCGATGGCAACATTTGATTTAGATCCCGAAAAATTGTTCTACAGGAGATTTTAACATTCTAATTACGTCTCGTCATCAAAATTTACTACGGTGTTCTATGCCCCAAATTGTGCATGTAATTTGTAATAAGTTTTCCACATGTAGCAGCCCCACATTTGATTTTTCACAAAGTTTGCAGAGCAACTCATTTTTTTAGACAAGCCATTAGGGCACACTGTTCTTCCATTGCTTTATAGATTTTATGGCTTTTCAGTCTTTAACCAGGTTGTACTGCTGTGCATTCCCTGTTAGATTAGATCCTGTCAGTAGTAATGTTAGTGCCCTAACAAATGAGTAACCAACTTATTGTGGTTGTTG